AAGGGACAAATATTTCACAAAAGTGATCCCTGGCATACAAGTGTTATGGCTGAAATACTTCAAGTGCTTATTTCTGGTCTAGTGCTGGGTGTCCATGGAGCTGATATAACACGTGCTTTGTAAAAAGTAATAGGTCAAGGAATGTACAAAAAATTGGAAAGAAATCAAAATAAGGAGTGATTACTTTATGGAATCCTGCTTTCATGAAGAATTACTAAATGTTCCTGTTCTCTATTTTCCATTCTTTGCCTGCATCAATGTAATAGAACCACCATCCACCCAGCCCCCAAGCTAGAACTATGGCAGTGACTGATGCTGTCATTCCTTATCCCTTTCCACCTATATCCTCCTCCCGCCACCTGCCAGCTCCTGGCTCTATCCCCTGCCCTGCACTGTGTTACTACAGTCTCCTTGCTCTTCTCCCGTGTGATGTGTTCTTTCATGTCTCTGAGCTTCGGTCTTTTCTCATATTCTGAGTACCCTTTCCTGTGCTCAGTCCTTGTCTACTTTTGGGACTCCTTGAACAGTCAACTCAGACGCAGGAACCATGTCTGCCTCCCCTCAGCACATTTCTGCGTCCACTGTGGCTGAGGCTCACTCTGTCCAGCCTCACATTGAGAATCCTTATCACTATGGTGATAAACTTATAAGAGCAGGAGGAGATTCCAGATTTTTCCGTTTTCTGTGGTTTACCTGCTCATCATCTCTGTGATCCTGTCCCTAAGATTCTTGGCCCAGCAATCAGAAACATGGGTTCCCAGGCTCCAGTTTGCTCTGGCCGCCTTAACAGAGTTGGTGATGCATGTAGTTTACTGGGAACTGCAAACTTTGCTAAGAAGTAGAGCACGTTTTGCCAATTCATGAACCACTAGAACATATGGTGACTTTGATTTGTTTACTTCTGCATTCTCAGTGCCTAAAACAACGTATGTAGTTTTACAGACTCCATGAGTGTCTGTTTAATGACTGAATGATAATAAGTGGGAAGATCTTCAAGCTCTCAGAAACAAAAATGGCAACACTACTATATGTAGAAATTTGGCTTAATAGCAGCATTTAAAATGAATAGAAAACAGAAGAGGTATTCAATAAATGAAGTTAGAATAATTGGTTATTTGCTAAAGCAGATTCTTCATATATAATTGCTGTTAAATCAAAAAAGTCTAAATAGAAAAAATTAAAGTATGAAATAAGAAAATTTAGGTGAATATATATTATCTATTTGGCAGATGGGCAATTGCTTTGTCATTCTTGTTTTGGTAGGGGTGTGTGTGTGTGTGTGTGTGTGTGTGTGTGGTGTGTGTGTGTATACATGCGCGCGCACATAAGACCCACCTCTCACCCCCCTTCTGACCCTAACTGATCCTCAAGGCAACCATTTTCACAGCCTGGGGTATCTGTGCCTGGACATTTTCTTGTGCATCTGTAGATACACATATATAAACACAATATACACATAATTTTTTTTCTCAAAGACGTAGTCTACATGTTAAACTTCAGCTTACCTTTTCTACTCTGCATAAGTTGTAGATAACTTTCAAAGTAGAGATGTTTGTTTTAATGCCCACCTACACAGCATTTCTCCTCTTTTGATAATTAAGATTTTCTTCTCTTTTCTTTTTGTTTTTTGCGAATTAAGGTTAAAATGAACTTCTTATGTAACGGTGAGTACTAATTGTTGACTTCAAGACCTGTTTTCACCTTCTCTCTCTAGCTGCTCATTGTCTCAACCCTCTTGTAACAAGGAACAGGGAAGCAATCCAAGCAGCAAACTGCTACTGTTTCTAGAAATGTTAGTCAGTCTACACGCCCACCAACACACCCGCCCCTGGAAAACACTCCTCAATTTAATTGGCCCTGGTTTTGACCCAATGGCTGAGAGAAACAACAGATAGCATTTACCTCGTGAACTCTCAGGGGCATGTTGGTCAAGTGTAACCCTTATGCAATTCTCCTCCTCCGCATCTCATCTATGTCTACATCACAAAGCCTTTTTGGGCGCTAGCTGATCCACCTCTACCTTATTTACTACTTATTTGATTTGCATATGAGTTTTCTTATTTTTCATTTTTATGGGATGGGGGCCTATCAGTAGCACAAGGCCAAGCAGTGTGTGCATCTCATCAAACTGTTCACATTTGCAGTTGGAAGCACGTAAATATTCTGCAATTCTTCCTGATTCTATTTGTATTTTCACAAGGGCTTTGTCACTGATACATGTTCTCCTAAATTCATGTTCTACCAAATAGCAAGTCTTATAATTTCTAGCCCCTAATTCAATAAATTTCCCCTCTCTAGTCACTACTGCTTAACCTAGTGCTACTGTTTTTACTTGAAAGTGGGATCACTAGAATGTGGGATCTATGCACTTTAGATCTTTTTCCCCCCTTGGGTAAGATTGAACACTTTAGATTTTAGTAGGTAACAGTAAGAAGGACATAGAAAGCACAAACATGATGAAAACATTCTCAGGAGATTACTATAATTTAGTATAAGAGTAAATTTTATATATATATATATATATATATATATATATATATATAGAGAGAGAGAGAGAGAGAGAGAGAGAGAGAGAGAGAGAATTTATATTTTGAGACAGAGTTCCCCAGGCTGGAGAGCAATGGCACGAGCTGCTCCGCCTCCTGAGTAGCTGGGATTACAGGCATGTGCCACCACATCCAGCTAATTTTTGTATTTTTAGTAGAGATGGAGTTTCACCATGTTGACCAGGCTGGTCTCAAACTCCTGACTTCAAGTGATCCACCCACCTTGGCCTCCCAATGTGTTGAGATTACAGGCATGAGCCACCGCGCCTGGCGTAGTATAAAATATTTTTAAATATTGCTTTATTAAAATATCATAAATACCATAGAAGTAAAAGAGAAATAAAACTGGAGAAAGTGTATAAAATCTTATCTGAAAGACTTGATTCAATATCTTTACAAAGAGCTTTTGAATAAGAAAAAAAAGATATTCAAATTAGAAAAACACATAAAAGATCAGAGCGAGTAATTTATAAAATAAGAAATACAAATGGTGAATAAAAATTTTGAAAGTGTCAATGCCAAAAACAAAATTAAAAATAATTATATTGTTTTATTGTCAATTTTTTTTCCTAAATGATAATAACTCTCTTTTATTGAAAGCAGTGAGAAATAGAATTTTATGTACTGCTAGTGGGTGTGTAAGTATTTGTGCTCAAGATAAAAGAAATTGCAATGTGAAAAATCAACACCATTGCATTAATAAACATTAAAAAATTCTATACACTAGAGAACATAATATGATAATTTTTTAAACTAAATGGAAAAAATATTTCCCCAAATTTGAAAAATAAAAGCTTATAAAAGAGTATATAGAAAGAAGTACTATTAAAACTTTAATAGGGCAAGGTGCAGTGGTTCATGCCTATAATCTCAGCACTTCGGAGGCAGTGGATTGCCTGAGCTCAGGAGTTCAAGATCAGCCTGAGCAATATGGTGAAACCCTACTTTTACATAAAATACAAAAATTAGCCAGGCGTGGTGGCATGTGCCTGTAGTCCCAGTTACTTGAGAGGCTGAGGTAGGAGGATCTCCTTAACCCTGGAGGTGGAGGCAGTGAGCCCTGATTGTGCCACTGCACACCAGCCTGGGTGACAGAGTGAGACTCTGACTCAAAAAATAAAAAACCAAAATCCCTCACAAAACATGACACATGTTTTCCTAAATTCACTGCCTTAAGTTCCAGTTTTGCCAAATAACAATAGGATAGGAAAAATAGGCTAGTTTACAAAAGAACAACAAATATTATTAAACATATTAAATAACTGTGAACCTTACTATTCTAGAAATGCAAATTGAAATAATATTATCACTGACCCACCATATTAGCAAAGATTTAAAAACTGGCTGCTACAAATGCTTCAGCTTTTTGTAAAAGCAGAGTGGTAATGTTTATAAATTGCTTTTTATAAGATTCTTTTTGTGTGTGTGTGGAAAAAAGTAATTTCAGGAATCTGGACTAAAAGATCATTAGAAATTTTAAGAAATGTATATTTAATGAAACATAATTCAACACATTAAAAAATTAGAAGCAGCAAAAGTGTTCAATATTAGAAAACAGTTATTAAAAATAGTATTTTCAAAGAATGTTTCATGAAATGGTAAAAGAAATGTAAGAATTTGTGAAAAAATAAGTGCACAAATTGTGTGTATATATAGATATATGTGTGTATATATATGTGTCTATATAAAATTCCAATTGTCAAATATATATGGATATTGAAAGGTGGTGAAGTAACACTGCTGGTCTCTGAGTTTATATATTATATGTGTGTGTGTGTGTGTGTGTGTGTGTCTGTGTGTGTGTATATATTTTAGACAGGATCTTGCCCTGTCACCCAGGCTGGAGAGTAGTGGCACGATTAGAGTTCACTGCAGCTTCAATCCTGCTACCTCAGCCTCCTCCCTAGCTGGGACTGTAGGCATGTGCTTCCATACCTGGTTAATTTTTTTTTTCTTTTTTGGTAGGGACAGGGTCTTCTCATGTTGCCCAGGCTGTTCTCGAACTACTGGGCTCAAGTGATCCTCCCTCCTTGGCCTCTCAAAGTGCTGGGATTACAGGCATGAGCCACCATGCCCGGCCCTCTGAATTACACTGTATCTGCTTTGCATGCTACTCAGCAGTGCAAAGTTTTCACAGATGACATTATGACCTAATTCATTTGTATCTGGCACACAGTAAGTATTGAAATAATTTTGGTTGATAGACAATAAATTCACAAGTTAATAGAGGAGTTCCATTCTCAGCATTGACTGGATGGAAATAAAAAGCCAGAAAAGAAAAGAACGACACTGGGAAAAACGGCAACAATTAACAGGGAAGCATACGAAGGGAAGCTGTGTTAATGCAAACTTTTCGTAAGATGTTTAATTTAGTAACAGGAACAAACAAGAAACACGGTTCTGTATAATAGGCTGCTGATGAACTGGTTGACTGACGTGCGCTCTCTATTTTAGGAACTGCCGTATGATGCTCTGCGGTACATGACCGGCGAATGCAATTATGGAGGCAGAGTGACCGATGACTGGGACCGGCGCACGCTGCGCAGCATTCTAAACAAATTCTTCAATCCAGAATTAGTTGAAAATTCAGGCTATAAATTTGACTCAAGTGGCATCTATTTTGTTCCTCCTTCTGGTGATGTAAGTATGCCCTTCAAAAAAACTAAAAGTAGTAAGACATGAAATTATTTTGGTGGTGATATTTTTTAAATGGTGATTTTTCTGCAGGCTTTGTTTTTTTGTTACCCTTGTCTGTGCTTTCTTCAGCCATATAGTGATAGAACAAAGCTCACGCTATAGGTGGAGTTAGAGGTTTCCTGTTTGTTGTAACATAAAGAGTATCAGAAACATTTCTCACTCAAGAATAGCTTTTTCAGTGACCTGAAGTTCTGTCATCATAAACTCAGCCCTTTGGCTAAAAAGATATTGACCCCAATTAACATGAAAATACATAAGAGATGTTATTAGCAAAATAATATTAGCAGTAATAGTTAATATTTATATTTCAATTATTTAGAAGTCAGTTGCAAGTAATTATCTCACTATCAAATTAACATTTTTATTATTATTTTATCCCAAGTGAGAAAGCAGGTTCGTTCCGGTAGAATAATTTGCCCAAGGCCACACAGGTAAGAAGGTGGTGGCAAGTCACAGAACCACCTGCAGCCCAAGTCCAAGATTCCCTTCTGCTCTTCTAGAGTCCTGGCTACTGCCTTCTGATGATCACAGTGGATTTCTAGAGATTGCTAGGACAATCAAGTTCTTTCTCATTTTATTCCCAGAAGTCAAAGGGCATACATTGAAAGTTAAATACAAGTACCAGCAACATATACTGTAATCCCCCAAACCTAACCCCATCTTCCACTAGGATTAATGCTAGCTGAGGGCAGATGTAGGTATAGATAAAGGGAAAAAAACAGTCCTAAAGCCTAGGTCACAGATTGGGTACAGCAAGCCAACATGGGAGTTGTGGTAACAAGATCTCCAATGATGAATTGCCAAGTGAGAAAACAGCAAGACGAAGTAAGGTTTTTGTAACATGACCCAAATAGTAAAGCCATCCATGACCAAACCCCCTTTGCCATGTCTGTGTGTGGATGTTTGTATATGATTATATGAGCATCAAGGAAGGTATGAAATTTTAATAGAAGTCGGTTTAAATAAAATAAAAAATATGTATGTATGCATAAAAAGAAGTATAAATGTTAATGATGATTATTTCAGAATAACAGAATTTAAAATTTTACTTTTATGAATTGGGTGGATTTTTCACAGAGTAAATCAGAAAAAAATATTTTTATTGTGATAAGAATAGCCATCAGCAAAATATGACACAGAAAGATTTCTCTGTAGGTAATTTCTAAATAAAGTTACCAGGGTTCCCCACCCCCATTAAAAAACCCATTCTAATTGAATGGTACATTTTCTTTTTCTCTCTAAATATGTTCATATATTTTTTAACTTTGGCCCAGGCTAAAAGAAAGTGAAAGCGCTCAGTGTCCAGCCTCATAGGCCTATCTGCTCAATAACTGGAGTATTGAAAATTACCTCCTTTCTGTGAAAAGTTCTAGAGTGTAATTGATTTCTAACCTCCTGACTTCTTGTTATTCATCTCTGCAGCACAAAAGCTACATCGAATACACAAAGACTCTGCCACTGACCCCAGCACCAGAAATCTTTGGGATGAATGCCAATGCAGATATCACTAAGGATCAGTCAGAGACTCAACTGCTATTTGATAACATTCTTCTTACACAGGTGTGTGATCTGTATATAGGAGCCAGCTTCTGAGGCCTAGGAAGGATGCTCCCCAGGTAGCATGTGCCAGCACTGAACAGGCTTCCTTACACAATCCTGTTCAAGCGTAGAAACATTTAAAGGAAAAGACAAAAATGCGTGTACAACTTGAATATGGATTTGAACACTAAGTACATGAACATATCGGGTTTTTTTTTTTTTTTTCATCAATCTTTTTCTGGGAACCAAGACCTATTTGAGTATCATTCTGCTTCTAGGAGTTTCATTTTGCCTTTTTTGCATAAACCTTGCCCAAATACGTCAAACATTGTAACTCTTTTAAAGTTCTTTAAAGTGGAAGAAAAATTTCAAAGATACTTGGGAAGCAGTTTGATGACAGAATTTGTCTAAAATTTTATCTGTTTTAATTTCCAGTCCCCTAGTATTTCAACAGCTATTCCAGAACATTTAACGTGATTTACATGGACACAGTTTCATTCACACTAATATTTTATCAGATTTATATTAGTATAATATTTAAAATATAATTGCAATAGTGAGTACAAAATGAATTTAAAAGTGTAGGAGAAGAATTTGTAAATGCAGCTCTACTGGAGAGTGCGTAAGTGCATTGGCATGTAGGAAAACCATCTGTGAAGACATCAAAATTTAGCTGCCATGAGCACAGGTCAGTACATTTTAATAAAAAACATTGACTAATGTTGCTTGTCTATTAAGAGACCTTCTGTTGTATTGTTCTTTAGAAGATATGCTCAGTTGTTAATTTGTTTTTTGAAAGCAAACTAGTCCAAATGGCAAGAATTCCCATAATGATTCAATAAAATTTTGATGAATTAAGGAAGAATAATCAGTCAAGCAAGTTATCCTATTAACTGGAATTCTAACTGATCTTTTTCTTTTTATGGCATCTCAGAGTAAAAATGACAACAGTTAACATTTTTGTATAGTGCTTACTCTGTGCTAGTGGTGCTCTAAGTGCTATTATGTATAACAATGCAACGCTAATGACAATCCTATGAAGTGGGGTCTAGCTATTACTATTCCCATTTTACAGTGAGAAAACTGAGGCACGGGAAGATTACGTAGTTTGGCCATAGTCTGTTAGTCAGGACTCAAAACCAAGCAGTCTGGCTCCTACCAGTTCGGCTCCAGAGTCTTGTGTTCTAAACACTACGCTATATTCTCTTTCTAGATTCCGAAGGTGGGATAAGCTCTAAAAGGTAGATAGCCAGAGATTCTTAAAAAGCTAAAAATTAGAAGGATAATGTGGTATGCTATTACTAATGGAAGAGTCCATGGAAATCCTATCTCTGCTCTACTCTACTATGACATTTTCTAATAAGGCAAAAGGAACAAAGACTATTTTTACATCCATTGTAGATATTGATAGCACTAAAATTAGTTATTACCTGGGCATAAAAGCATATGTGGAAACATGAATGAGTAGCTCTTTAGGAGCATTAGATTGCATTTAATACACCACAGTCTGACAGCAGGACATTTACAGTGTCTTTTGGCTTTACTTAAACTTGATGGGGTGTACCACATTACAGAATACGTAAAACAGTGGGCTCACTCCAACAGAAAATGACTCTAAGCCAAACAAATAAGTTTAAATACACAAGGGGTATCTTTCAGTGTATAATTAAACAATCTCTTTCAGTCCTCAAACTCAGGTTGGCAAATACAATTATAGTAATGAGCAAGCAGTAGTTCAGTGATTCTAGATTGGGCTTATCACAATTCAAAGGTAAAGAGACCAGAACTGCAGAGCTTGGGCAGCAGGTTAATGATGACAAGACTTTTTGTATTTAACTAATTTATCTTAGAAAAAATAAAAGAGGAAGCTATCAGAGCTGAAACATTTACTTGTGCAGAGCTCCTTTGCTTGTGGTTAACTGCCACATGCTAATTTGAATAGGAAAATTGTTTCAACTTAGAATATTATAAAACTAGATATAGTCTAGGATCTCCGAAAAGGTTAAACTCTCTGATGTCCCTTTGAAAATGAAAACGAATTCTACTTATCTTTAAGAGGAAAATAACCCTTAGAAGATTCTAAATGCTATTTATGATAACTCTAAAGAAAGATGGTAAAAAGGAAAAAGCTAAGGTAAATAATTGTAAGTAAATACGACCCAGTTGGTCTTAATTTTTGGTATCAGTTGGACATTACTTTCAAAACCCTATCACCCTAATCATTTGATCTTTGTGTGTGAGAAATAGGTTAGGGGAATGCATGCGTTACTACTTTTTTTTTTTTTATAGTTTTTGAAGAATATAGACCTGGAATTTTTCCCCCCTAGAGTCCCAGCTCTTGTTAGAAAATAGGAATATTTTAATGAGTTTTTACTGCCTTTTATGCATACCGCAATACTACTGGAAATCAGCATATGATTCCTTAAGTATAATGGAATTAGAGATTTCATTAGTTTTAGTCAAATACTTGCTTTTCATTCTCTATGATTTGTTTTATATATTTTGTTGCAAACCTGGTACTGTGGAATCATAATAAAGGATTGTTATATGAACGTATCTCATTTTTAATAGCACATAATTAAAACCAACATGTAATTATTTTATTGTGTAACTTTATAGGATATTATGGTGGTGTGTGGTAAGTAATGTTAAAAGTCACAATAGAAGCCAGGCATGGTGGCTCGCACTTGTAATCCCAGCAGTTTGGGAGGACAAAGCAGTTGGATCACTTGAGGTCAGGAGTTCAAGACCAGCCTAGCCAACATAGTGAAACTCCTTCTCTACCAAAAATACAAAAAGTAGCCAGGTGTGATGCAGGTGCCTGTAATCCCAGCTATTTGGGAGGCTGAGGCAGGAGAAGTGTTTGAACCTGGGAGGCAAAGGTTGCAGTGAGCAGAGATTGTGCCACTGCACTCAAGCCTGGGCAACAGAGCAAGACTCCACCTCAAAAAAAAAAAAAAAAAAAAAAAAGTCACAGTAGAAACTTAGGTAAAAATAGTTAAGATTTTCAGAATAGATTTTGAGAATATTTAATATTTATAGTATAGAAACCAGGAAACATAAAATCTAAAAGAAGACTAAACACAATTTCCTTGGACTGAGAGAACATGTGATATATTTATATTCTAATAGTACTTGTTCTCTTTCAACAGACACACTCCATAGTCATTTGTTCTGAGGACTTAGTAGTTTTGTTCCCCAGAAAATATAGATTGATTTACACAATGCCACTATAAATATAAAAAACAAAAATGGAATTGAAATTCTCCTTCCTTGCTTCCAAAGTGAATCACGAAAGTCTGTCTTTTCTCCATAACTCTTCCGCTGCTAAGAGGAGATGAGCTTATTTTCTTTGCTCTCCTGGTTCAAGGAGAAAACTATATCTCTGCTTTTGGCGATCAGTAGACACCAAAGTTATTAGCAAATATATTTTGTGGCATGCTTTCTCAAAGCAAGATGAGATGTCCCCCTTCTGGTTTTAATGCCCGTCATCAGTTGGCCACTTCACCAATGCAGTGCTTTTTCTCCCACTATCTGCAGCATCTGCTCCTCCCCCTGCACCCATGCAGCCAAACATACAGCTTATCTGCTTTATCCAGATCCTCGTTTGCCTCCGAACACATTACATGCCCTTATTCCTCCTCCCTAACAATAGTTTTCTTTTGAAAATCCATCCTCCTTCCTGTTACCATCACTCTAATAAATCTTGTGTGGCAAGAGATCATGAATAAAATAGCAGAGCAATGTTCTTTCTTATAAAGAGTTACCTTAGGATTTTTCCTGTTCAGCTATGCTCAGACCTTTATGAGGATTTTTGAGTTATAGTTTGGATTCTTCATAGTCTCGTTCAGCAGGTGCTGGTGCAAAATCATCAGATGAAGTAGTGAATGAGGTTGCTGGTGACATCTTGGGCAAACTTCCAAACAACTTTGATGTTGAGGCTGCTATGAGGAGATACCCAACAACTTATACACAGAGCATGAACACTGTACTTGTCCAAGAGATGGGACGGTTTAATAAGTTACTGAAGACCATAAGAGATTCATGCATAAATATTCAGAAAGCAGTCAAGGTAAGGTGGAAAACACCAAAAAAACCCACTAAATGATATATAGCATTCATTTGTTGAGCAAATATTTGCTGAACATAAATACTGTGTAAGCACTGTTTTGGGTTCTGGGGACAGATAAGATTAGAAAATAATTCTTGCCCTTGAGGAGCTTATAGAATTCTGGAAGTGAGAGTTAATAAACAGGGAGATAAGCATAGAGGATGCTATTAGATAAGGATAGGACCCTGGATTGGATATACGCTGAGACACAGTGTGGTAAGGAATGAAACACTTGCCCTCATAAAGCACATTTATTTTTATTTTATTTTATTTTATTTTATTTTGTTAGAGATGGGGGTCTCACTCTGTCACCCAGACTGGAGTACAGTGATGTGATCACAGCTGTCCGCAACCTTGAACCCCTGGGCTCAAGGAATCCATTTGTCTCACCTTCCTGAGTAGCTGGGACTAGAGGTGTGAGCCACCAAGCCTGGCTAAGTTTTCTTTAATTTTTTTTTTTTTAATTTAGAGAGATGGGGTCTTGCCATACTGCCCAGGCTGGTCTTGAACTCCTAGGCTCAAGTGATACTCCTGCCTCAGCCTCCCAAAGTGCAGGGATTATAGGTGTGAGCCACCAACTTCTGGCCCAAGCTCAAATTTTAGTGAGTGAGGCAAACCGAAAAATAAATGGGCCAGGCTCATACCTGTAATCCTAATACATTGGAAGGCCAAGCGGGAGGATTGCTTGAGCTCAGGAGTTTGAGACCTTCCTGGGCAACACAGCAAGACCTCATCTCTTCTGGAAAAGGGAAAAAAAGCCGGGCATGATGGTACATGCTACTCAGGAGGCTGAGACAGGAGGATGGCTGGAACCTGGGAGGTTAAGTTTGCAGTAAGCTACCATTCTACCCCTGCGCTCCAACCCAGGAAACAGAGTGAGACCCTGTGTCAAAATAAAAATAAAAACAAGCAAATACATAATTTTGGAAAGTGATAAGTTATAGGGGAAAAAACTAAAGATTAGAGAGTAGAGAATGATGGGAGAGAAGCTCTCTTAGGTTGGGTGAGGTCCTTCTGAGGCATGACTCGGAGAGACACCTAAATGACATTAAGGGGCAAGCCATGGGACGTTTCAGGGAAGAACATTTTAGGCAGAGAGTATGACACAAGTTTAAAGCCAAGAGAAAACAAGCTGGGCCTGGTCCAGGAACACAAGTAGGAAGGCTGATTGATTAGAGTGGAGTGAGCACAAGACAGACCCTAGTACTAGAGAGAAGACGCCAGAGGCTGCATCGTGATGGTGTTGTCAGCCATAGTTAGGGTCTTAAATGTCATTTTATTTTATTTTAAAGTATAAAAGTAAAGAGACACCTTCACAAGGTTTTAAGCAATGAATTGAAATGACCCATTTTACATTTTAAAAAGTTTAACCACTGCTGAAAGGATTATGGCAAAACGAGTACAGAGACCAATGATGTGATTGAAGAAATCCAGCTGAACTGGTCTCTTGTAGTAACACTGGAGGTGTGTTTTCTTCTTTTTCTTCTTTTTTCTTTTGTCTCATCTTACTGTGTATTTTCAACTCGCCTGTCTTCTAGCTCGCTAATTATTTCTTCTGCTTGATTAGTTCTGCTGTTAAGAGACTCTGATGCATTATTCAGCATATTAATTGCATTTTTTAGCTCCAGAATTTCTGCTTGATTCTTTTTAATTATCTCAATCTCTTTGTTAAATTTATCTAATGGGATTCTGGATTCCTTCTTGGTGTTATCTGGAATTTTTTAGTTTCCTCAAAACAGTTATTTGAATTCTCTATCTGAAAGGTCACATATCTCTCTCTCTCCACGATTGGTCATTGGTGCCTTATTTAGTTTATTTGGTAAGGTCATGTTTTCTGAATGGTCTTATTTTTTATTTTATTTTATTGTTTGCTACCCAGACACCATTCAATATCCTACGTGGTCTTGATGCTTGTGGATGTTTGTCAGTGTGTGGGCACTGATAAGTGTTTATCATAGTCTTTACAGTCTGGGCTTGTTTGTACCCTTGCTTCTTTGGGATGCTTTCCAGATATTTGAAGAGACTTGGATGTTGCAATCTAAGTTTTTGGTCACTGCAACTGTATCTGTGCTTTAGGGGGCACTAGAAGCCCAGTAATGCTGTAGCTCTTTCAGACTCAGAGAGATTCTGCCTTGGTGGTCTTGGATAAGGTCCAGAAGACTTCTCTAAATTGCAAGAGAAGGAGCCTTGTTCTCTTCCCTTTGTTTCTCATAAACACATGGACTCTCTCTGTGCTGAGTTGAAGCTAGGAGAGGAGACACACAAGCACCCTTATGGCCACCAACGTTGAGACTGTGCTGGGTCAGACCTGAAACCAGCACAGCACTGGGTCTCATCCAAGGCTTGTTGTAACCACTCCCTGGCTACTGCCTATGTTTGCCCAAGGCCCTGGGACTCTACAGTAGTCAGCAGGTGGCAAACCCAACCAAGCTTGTGTCCTTCCCTTCACAGCAGGTAGTTCCCCCGGGCCCTGGATGAGTCCAGAGATGTTCTGTGGGAGTCACAGCATAGAGAGCCTGAAAATTTAAGAATTTACCTGGTGCTCTCTTCTGCAGCTGAGCTGGCACCCAAACCACTAGACAAAGCTCTTCTCATACACAGTTGTGTTGTCTTTTTTTCCCATTCCACAGGCAGAAGAACCTCAGCCTGCAGCCACCATCACCACAGGTCAACAGCGAGTACTGCCAGGCTACTTGCTGATCTTCACTTAAGGCCCAAGGGCTCTTCAGCCACTTTGTGGTGAAAGTTGCCAGGCCTGGGACTTACCCTTTAGAGCAGTTGGCCCCACAAAGTAAACTAAGTCAAAGTTTTTCTGTGATTTAATAGCTAGCAAGTAGCCAAGTATTAATTAAGAAGGTTTTTCTATTAAAATTGGTTAGATCAGGTGTAAGTTCAAATCCCAGTACTTTGGGAGGCCAGGAAAGGGATTGCTTGAGGCCAGAAGTTTGATACTGGCATGGGCAACATAACGAGACCCCATCTCTACAGTTTTTTTTTTTTTTTTTTTGAGACAGGGTGTCATTTTGTCAGCCAGGCTGGAGTGCCACAGCAACAGTCTTGGCTCACTGCAGCCTCGACCCCCCAGGTTCAAGCAATCCTCTTGCCTCAGCCCCCCAAGTAGCTGGGACTATAGATGTGCACCACCACACCCAGCTAATTTTTATATTTTTTGTAGAGACAGGGTTTCACCATGTTGCCCAGGCTAGGCTTGAGCTCCTTTCCAGAACCAAGGCCTGGAACCAGGGACCCTAAGACCTCACTGTAGCAGTCAAGCTGGTACCTAAGCTGCAAGTCAAAGTCCCCTTTACTCTTCCCTCTGCTTTCTTCAGATGGGAATCTCTCCTGGTAGCCACCACAGGTGGGAACATGCAGGGTCACAACTGAAGCCAGCATGGCTCTGAGTCACTCAAGGCCCATGGTGTGTATACCTGGCTACTGCTGCTTATTACTCAGGGCCCAAGAGCTCCTTAGTCAGGAGCTGATGAATCCTGCCAGGAGCAGACCCTTCCCTTAAAGTGTGCAGGTTCCTTTATGACCCAAGAAGTGTCTAGAAATTTTGTCCAGGAACCGGGACTTAGAATGTGGGCCCCAGGACTGTTCCCAGTGCCCCATCCTACTGTGGCTGAGCTGGCCCCAAGTTGAAAGACACAGTCCTCTTTAGTCTTCCCTTTCCTCTCCTCAAGCAGTAGGAAGTTGGAGCTGCAAGCTGTGCTGCCTGGGATTGAGAGAGGGGTGGTGCAAGCACTCCATTAACCACCCTTGTAGTGTCTTACTAGATTGCATGTCCCCCAAGACCCTAGCTCTGGGTCTAGCACAGGACTAGGACTTGCCTAGGAATTGTAGTCCCCATGGCCCAGACTGCCTTTCAGGTTTGTTTAGAATCCCAGAGCACTTTAGCTGGCGTTGGCAAGGCTTGCTGAATCTCAAGTTCCAACCGCTGGGATATGTGATTCCCCTGTAGCTAGGGTTGGTCTAAATGCTGCTTTCACAGGCATCAGCTGAGCTCTTCCTGGTGTTGCTGTCTTCTGTGACAGGGAAGCACTAAGTTCCTGTGCAAAGTCTCAATCACTGCGCTCTCCCACAAGCAATAGATTCTCAGCACCACAAGGCCACTGCTGGGGGATGGAAGAGGAGTGGCATCAGCAGTTCAAGACTGTCTTCCCTACCCGCTTTAGTGCCTCTTTCAGTGATTAAAAGTTAAAACCGGGTACTGTGGTCATTCACCTGATTTTTGGTTCTTATGAAGTTGCTTTTTGGTGTAGATAGTCGTTAAATTTGGTGTTCCTGCAGGGAGAAGAATTTATGGAGGTTTCCATTGGTCATCTTGCTCTGCCTCCCTCCTCAAACATTCCTATGCCAATACATTTAAAATGTAAATACATCTTAAAATGTAAATGAAATAAATTCTTGGGAAAACATGTTACCAAATTGATACAAGAAGCACTAAAAAATCTGAATAATCTTTTTTGTGTTTAGAAGTTGAATGCATAATTGAAAAACTTTTCATGTTAGAAACCTTCTGGCATCTGATCATTTGGTGTTGTTTGCTTATGTGTAAGAATAGGCATTATCATGTTGAATGAACACAATAAGAATACTGATGATTGTTGATTGTGGTCTTCAATGTAGTGCTAGCTGGACTGTGGTTTTCAATGTAGTGTTAGCTGGCTAGGCTGTTTGTTTTAAGAAACATTGAGCATGATTATGTATTTCTTCCTGACCTGCTTCTTCCTGTCTCCTTCCTGGAAGATAAGGGGCTGGCTTCTAGTACTCTGGGAACCAAAGGGGAAAAAAAGCCCCAGGGCTGTCAGCATCCAGTATTCATACATTCACTTAATCCTCCTGATTTCGGTATGATAACTTTAGCCCTAACGGAGCCTGGCATTTCCCACTCTGGGGATTTCTGCATTTTTCTTTCCGGGTTATATTCAAGGTAGGCAATGCATAGTTTGGGGGGGCGGGGGAGGAAGATCTAGGATTCTGTTTTTTATACCAGGTTTTAATGATCTTTAACATTGACCTCCTCGCCCCACTTTCAGAAGTACCTAGGGCATTCATTTCCAAGATTTAGGGGTATTCTGCGGTGTGTGTCTGGCTGATTCTCAGCTTTTCCTCCTGCCAACTTAGGATCAGGTTTCTTCTGTCTGCTAAGTCTACTACCAGCAGTCCATATGCTTCCTAGGTCCCACAAATGTGTTGTCATTTTCTCTCCTCCTCTTTGTTTCTACACTTGGGGGCTTATGTCTTTAAAAAGTAAATTCTTTTACTGCTGTTTCAGTGGGGTTTTGAGAAGGCGGCAAATGAAATATGTGTATTTAGTACATCAAATTTACTCCCAAATCTTCTCCATATGTTATTTGGAATAATATTTTCAACTATAGGAAAGACAGAAATGACAGTAGCATCTGGCCCAATTAAAAGTCAAATAGGAATTTTCAGGGCCTTCAAAGTTTTAACACCTGTGCATCAGTCACTTAAAATGGGAATGGTCAACTAGACTGCATAATTCAATTCTAGGACGTTTTATCTTTTCAAAGCATTTTATGTAATGTTTCTAATTTTATATGTATCACCATCCTTTCCAGAATGCAATGTAGAGCTATATTATCCACTTAATAGACAGTAAACTAAGTCAAAATTAGTCTGTGATTTAATAGTTAGTGAGTAGCCAAGTATTGATTAAGAAGATTTTTTTCTATTAAAATTGGGTTAGATCAGGTGCAGGTGCAGTGGTTCATGCCTATAACCCCAGCACTTTGGGAGGTGAAGACAGAAGGACTGCTTGAGGCTAGGAGTTTGAGACCAGCATAGGCAACATAGTCACACCCCATCTCTATAATTTTTTTTTTTTTGAGACAGTGTCTCACTTTGTCACCCAGGTTGGAGTGCAGTGACACAATCTTGGCTCACTGCAGCCTCGACCTCCCAGGTTCAAGCGATCCTTTTGCCTCAGCTCCCCAAGTTGCTGGTTCTACATGTGTACACCACCACGCCCAGCTAATTTTTGTATTTTTAGTAGAGATGAGGTTTTCCCATGTGGCCCAGTCTCGTCATGAACTTGGGCTCAAGTGATTCACCTGCCTTGGCCCAAAGTGCTAGGATTACAGGCATGAGCCACCCTCCTGATCTCCTATTCAAAAAGGAATTTTCAAGTAAAATATTAGTCAGGTGTGGTGAGGCATGCCTGTAGATGCATGCTTCTTACTTGGGAGCCTGTGGTGGAAGGCTTAGTTGAGCCAAAAAGGTCAAGGTTGCAGTGAGCCATGATCCCACCACTGCACTCCAGCCTGGGCAGCAAAGAAAGACCCCATCTCAAAAAAGAAAAAAAAAATTAGGTTAGATTAAAATTGTTAATATTTATCTAAGGAATAGTTCAAAGACTCCATGGCCTACTTGTAAGCAAAAACAAATATTTCCACTTTTTTTTTTTTTTTCTGTATGACTCAACCTTAACTAATCACAATTGTAAACAAAGGATAATTGTGAAGGGGGTATTTATGCTAATATGCTATTTATATTTATACTATGATAGTAACCAAGGTTAAATGTGTTTCAGGGGCTTGTAGTTATGTCTACAGAACTTGAAGAAGTGGTTAGCAGCATTTTGAATGTCAAAATTCCAGAAATGTGGATGGGTAAATCCTACCCAAGCCTTAAACCACTTGGCAGCTATGTGAATGACTTCCTTGCAAGACTAAAATTCTTGCAGGTAAGTTCATCCAAATGATCGTACATTGTTAAGTTTCTCTTGTTTCCTTTTTCTTCATCAGAATGCTTAATGTAATAAGTATTACTCTCTAGTTTTTCTGTGCATCCCAGACACAAATCACCACTTCTTAATCTTTCATACAATGTTTGTAACTGCTACACTGAACTGTCAAAAAGCTAGTATTAAATGAAGGGAGAAAACATCTAGCTATGTTGATTTTTCCACTAAGTAGTCAACATTAAAATAAATACCTACAGCAAAGCATCTTAGAAAGCCAGTCAAGCTACCAGTGAGGGGTATTATATTTTCATTTCCCAGCACTTTTCTAGGTCATGAAATCACTAGATTGCTGGTTCAGCCCAAGTCTTGGAAATGTTGAGTGGGCAGAAGCCTACTAATTGTCTGGTAATACTGGTGCTGAACTATGTTCTTATTAACAATTATACCTATTAGAAATATTAACTTCCTAGAGTCTGTACAAAATGTGTCAATAGCTACCTATAAAGATATTTCTGCAGGAATAAAATGGTTAAACTCCCTTTTCATAATACAGGCCTTTTGTTATGCTAGAGCCAATACTAAGGAACTAAGATAGTTTTTGAAGGATAAAGTTCTATCTTAAGCTCTTAGAGGGAAAAGCTTTTCAAATTTGTTTCTTCAGATTGGCTCCTCTAATTTACTATCTAATTAAAGTCGATATTCCACTAACTCACCATTAGAATCTATGTTATGAACAGAGAATTAAAGTATCTTGACATTTCTAAAGGCTTTAAGGTCTCACTACCTGGCTTCTTTCAGGAATTCCTGGCACAATATTGTGTTCCTATACGTTGAATTTTATTGTGTTTCAGTGAAGTAGGAAGAAAAACTTCCAAAGCAACATTCTGTTGGGACTAATGACTAATTAGAGAAAAAAAGTGAAAAACATTACCATCTGACCAGACTTTATGGGGATCTCTTCTGTTCAACTGTATAACATGATATGTAACAATGCATATTAGATATTCCCTATTGTAGGGAGCCTTTCTGAAAGAGTCTCAGGGCATGTATAACACAGACATTTATGTTTGCATTAATGGACATTGTAATTCCCAAACTGATATAAGTATGAAATTGAACTCAGGACAAACATTGAATATGCTGTTTTTAAAACCTTGATAGTATGGCTTGTTATTCCTCAGAGGTAATTTATTCGTTTATCTAAAAGACAATAAATATCTTTGGATAAATTTTATTAAGCAGTGTTGTATTCAAAAGTTGAAAGGCTCACTAGGTGTGGTGGTTCATGCCTGTAATCCCAGCACTCTGGGAGGCTGAGACAGGCATATTGCTTGAGTCTGGGAGTTTGAGATCAGCCTGTGCAAAATAGCAAAATCCCTTCTCAACTAAAAATACAAAAAATTAGCCAGGTGTGGTGGCATATGCCTGTATTCCCAGCTACTTGGGAGGCTGAGGTGGGAGGGCCACCTGAGCCCTGCCTGGGCAAACAGAGTGAGACCCTGTTGCAAAAAAAAAAAAAAAAAAAAAAAAAGGTTGAAAGGCTCTACTGTTAGCTGACTTATGTTTTACACCCTAGCAATGGTACGAGATTGGCCCTCCTCCAGTCTTCTGGCTTTCTGGCTTCTTCTTCACACAAGCCTTCCTGACTGGTGCCCAGCAGAACTATGCCAGGAAATACACAATTCCCATTGATCTTCTTGGATTTGACTATGAGGTGATGGAAGACAAAGAATACAAGCAGGCTCCTGAGGATGGTAAGTGCAGGGACAGAATGAGTCGGCTCATATCTGGGCACTGAACAAAAACATGACATTCTAGCTTACTTTTCTCAGCTGTTAAAAAAGTAGTAATCACGAATGTAATTTACCCTAAATGCCAGAGAAAAAAATTATGGACAGAGAGCAAATGAGTGAGCAGGGGGAAAGAGAGAGAGAGAAGGGTGAGGGGGAATGATTAAGCAAATAGAAGAAAATGATAACAGTAGATGAATCAGGATAAAGGATATATGTATGTCCTTGTACTTTTTTTTGCAAAAATTTTTTAAGTTAGAAGTTATTTCTAAAATGTTAAGAAGAAAGTCATCATCAAATTAACAGCACATGGGATAACAGCCGTAATCTTATGTTGGCTGTGGGGACTGGATATGGTACAGCATTGGAAAAGTTTTTTCCCTGGCCCCTTGAAGAGTATACCTTTGTAGAATCCTAAAATATGTATTCTGTCCTGTTTTATATATCATTCTAAAACATATAGCTTATCATTCCAAAATATAACTAATAGAAACATTTGCTTTGTGGTTGAAAGACTGTGAGGAAATCTTTCTTAATGGATTGTCTATACTTTATGGCTACCCTGATGTTTTATTTCAAATTTAGTGGACAGGGCCACTATTTTAAACAAGAGTTATTTTTTAAATGCTACAGATTCCAGAATTTTAACAAAATTGTATTGTCTTATATAAATGACATTAGTCTCTAAGTGACTGTTAATGTGTACTGATTTAACTAATGCGTTGAAGAAAACCTTTTTATTCATCATTGAATGATGAATTCACTAGCTCACTTTCTGTCAGGCCCTGGAGATATCAACAGGGAACAATTTATGATCTTATCGCTCGACTAATTTATACTGTGGTAGGAGACACTAACAAGTAGATATGTAACCACAGCAGTGTATGATAATCACATTACTGTGCCAAGAAGTTTTATTTTAAATTGATGGTCACAAATCTCAAGACGGTTTGTAACACTCTGAAGCAATCCCACTACTATTCCTGGGGATATTTGCTTTCCTCCTCTCACAACAACCACTTATGCCCTCTTTGCCCTTCCTTCTGTCCCCACGTCTGCCCTTATTTTTCATGGAAAAAATTAAAAGCCATCTGAAGAGAGTTTTTAGCACCACTGACTCCATACATTTGTCAACATCTGCACCCTCGAGGAATCCAGATTTCATTTTCTTTTTCCTTCTCAAGGGCTTTGGTCCTTTAATTGTGCCCTCTCTTTCCGGAACAAATGATTGTTCTCTCATTACTAGATAATTCCTGTCGACCCACAACATGCTCTAGAATCTCTCATCTTAAATCAACCATTTCAATTGTCTTTTTACATCCCCCTCAGCTACTGTCCCTGTCTCCACTCACCATTATAGCAGAATTTCTCAAAAGAATTGTCTTTACATGCTGTCTGCAGGTTCTCACTTCCTACTTCTTATCTACCTTTCATCTTTCCAGAGACATACTGCTCTCTTGTTTCCAGGACATCACCCTCTCCTGGTTTTCCTTACCTCATTGGCCACATTCATGCTGCTTGAGTGGCTTAGGCTCCCCTAATACTAGTTTCCACGGACTCAGTCCTGGGACTATTTCTCTTTTCTGACAGCATCCTATCCCCGAGTGACCTTATTATTTTTTGTATCTTCTTTGCTTATGTCCTCCAAATGTAAATCTCTGAATCTCCAATCTAGATCTTTCCTCTAAGATCTAGACCTCCATATCCAATTGACAACCTGAAATCTCCACTTTGGTGTCTCCTGAATATGTAAAATGAGTAATTTATTAAATGGCACCACCATCCAGCCAGAAACCCAGGAATTCTTCATTCTTCTCCTCCCTAATCTGTTCATATCAAGGGCAGTTGCTCACCTACAATCCTACTGCCACCATCCTGGTTTTTTTTGAGACAGGGTCTCACTCTGTCACCCAGGCTACAGTACAGTGGTACTATCTTGGCTTACTGCAGCCTTGACCTCCTGGCCTGAAGTGATCCTCCCACTCAGCCTCCTGAGTAGCTGGGACTAGAGGCATGCACCACCATGCCCAGCTAGATTTTTCATTTTTTGTATAGACTGGGTCTTCCTGTGTTGCCCAGGCTCATCTCAGACTCCCAAGCTCAAGGAATCCACTCACCTTGGCCCCCCAAAGTGCTGGGATTACAGGCATCAGCCACCACACCTGGCCCCACCACCATTTTTATCTTGCCATCTGCTCTGGCCTTTATCCTGTCTCCATAATTACCCATTAATTGCCCATTAATTTGTACAGAAGCCACAGAATTAAAAAAAAAAAAAATGAAAACATATCAGCCTTTGGTCTCCAATGAAAATCCAGACAACTAAATAAGTTAATAGTGTCATTTTTCCCCTTGCTGTTTGAATAAAATCCAGACCCCTTACGGTGACAGTGAGGCCCGGCATGTTCTAGCTGCTGCCCACCCATACAGTCTCATCCTGTGCCACTATGCTCAGGTCACACTAACCTCCTGACGGTTTCTAGAATGGCTCATGTTCTTTTCTCTTTGGGATCTTTGTTCCTAAGCCCAGACTCAGCATGGTGTACACTTCTCAATCTTCTGGTCTCAGCTTAAATTACTGGTCATTAGCAAGAACTTCTATGAGCTTCCATCTGTTGGAGCTGCCTATTTCACCTTACTCCTGTCTTGCAACTCTGCTTATTAATTTCAAAACATCAGTTAGACTGTAATTATCTTATGTGTTTCTTTATTATCTCTCTCCCTCAGTATATACAGATACTAGGAGACCGGTGACCTTGTTTGTCTGCACCATTCTTTCCTGAGTGCCTCTCAGTATCTAGCACATAAAGGGCCCTCAAATAGTACTGGGGAAATTCCAAAAATTATGCTACTGGAATCCACTAAAAATTTGTGGACTCTAACCCAACCTTTAAAAGATACCTTTTATTCCCGTCTCTAATACTTAAACAGTTATTGCAGAAGCACATTTAAGAACAACAGATGCAAGGAATAAAGAATCATTGGGACATATGATATCTTAAAAATCATATTTTTCAGCCACAGATGCTTAACTTACCATTATTCTGATCATTTGTTCAAAATCCCTTTATCTTAACATACTCAGATGAAACTTTATCCAACTGGAGGCTTTTAAAATAAATAAATAAAACAAATACAGAAGGAAATTTAACAACCTTCTGCTAAGTTGTTTATTATTTCCTTAATAATATAAGCTTTAACAAAATTTTTTTCCATACAGCTCACTATGATATGTCATAAAAGACACTAATAAATATGAGTTTGAGCCCCTACCCTCATAAAATTAAAAGTATAGGCTGGGCCTGGTGGCTCACATCTGTAATCCCAGCACTTTGCGAGGTCGACACAGGCAGACCACAAGGTCAGGAGTTTGAGACCAGCCCGAGCAACATGGTGAAAGCCTCTCTCTACCAAAAATACAAAAATTAGCTGGGTGTGCTGGCATGCACCTGTAATCTCAGCTACCTAGGCGGCTGAGGCAGGAGAATCGCTTGAACCCAGGAGGCGGAGGTTGCAGTGAGCCAAGATCACGCTACTGCACTCCAGCCTGGGTGACAGAGCAAGACTCTATCTCAAAAAAGAAAAAAAAAATTTTTTTTAGTTAGATAAATAATTTAGCAACATTTAAATAATTTCATTCAAATTTGGCAATGGAGCAAAGAAATATTTAAGTTGGGTAAAAGCAAATCAAGGAAATGGCAGGGATACTTACTGTGGGGCTGCTCTGTGCCACTGTGGGGATCCAGACTGCCCAGTCCTTTACACTGAGTCCTCACAATACCCCTCCCTAGGGCTCAGATACTACTATTATCACCATTAGAGAAGGTGGAAACTAAGGCTCAGGGGGATCAAGTAACTTGCTGAAGGTCTCACAGCTAGTAATTGACCGAGTTGAGATTCAGACCAGGCCATCTGGCTCTCATGCTTAGCTGCTTTCTCTATGGCCTACTACTGAGTATTTTGGTAGAAGTTTGAAAACATCACATTTCTCAAGGAAAGTTTTCTTAAAGGAGTTATAGTTAATTCTTAAGTATTTAATTCAGATGCAAGAATTTTTTTCTAATTCTTATCATTGTAAAAGGCAGAAAGTGGCATTTGGTTTGAAGTTTTAGCAGCACTGATGTTTCTTTCAGGGTTATATTTTGTTGTTGTTGTTGTTGTTGCCATTGTTTTGAGACAGAGTCTTGCTCTGTCACCCAGGCTAGAGTACAATGGTGTGATCTCGGCTCACTGCAACCTCCACCTCCCGGGTTCAAGCAATTCTCTTGCCTCTGCCTCCCAAGTGGCTGGGATTACACTGTGCCTGGCTAATTTTTATATTTTTAGTAGAGAGGGGTTTCACCATGTTGGCCAGGCTGGTCTCAAATTCCTGACCTTGTGATCCGCCCACCTCAGCCTTCCAAAGTGCTGAGATTACAGGCATGAGCCACAATGCCAGCCTATACTTTTAATTTTATGAGGGCAGGGGCTAAGGAGAGCTCTTGGCAGTAAGAATAAATTCTAAAAGGGGAGGAGCAATTTAATTCTATGACTTTAGAGATCTATAGAAGGGTACTTTGCTCATATGCTGCCTACAAGACATTGGATCCCTATTACATTAAGAACTGTTTTTTTCCCCCAGATTTCATAGCTTCTGAAAACATAGTATAATCATTGACCAATTAAAAATATAAATTTGATAATGTTCACAAACACTGAGAACTTCCCATAGACTCGTTTAAAATGTCTTTCCTCCTTTGTCTTCCATGCCTGTCTTTACTGTTGCATTATTTCACTAGGCAAACTTTAAATGTTCTTGAAATATGGATGTTAAAACACCCATGAGATTGCCTTCATTGGAAAACAAGTCTTAGGCTACAAATCTATCACCTGCATAGTACTTACATGTAGAAATTTCAGATTCAGAACTCAAATGAAAATGTGTAATGTGTTATATTAACATGTTTCTTTTATATTTAGGTGTTTTCATTCATGGATTATTTCTGGATGGAGCTTCCTGGAATAGAAAGATCAAAAAACTTGCAGAATCGCATCCCAAAATTCTTTATGATACAGTGCCTGTGGTTAGTAAATTCTAATGATATATACATGTGGAATTATTTTATACATATTTTCTATGTTATATATAAAGTAGACCCCATCTTGTGTGCATGTGTATACATGTGTGTGTGTGTGTGTGTGTGTGTGTGTGTGTGTATATATATAAAGCACACACATATAGAGTCAATTCTTGTTATTCATGGTAATTATATTCTATAAAGTTGTTTCCAAAATTGAATTAGCAAATACTGAATCACTGATCCTGGGAAAATACAAGGTTCTTTCTTTGGTCACGTTTTTGTTAGCTGATCAATAAAGAACCTTGTTTTATTTCTGTTTAAAGACACATTATTTAATATACAATGTTGAGTCATTTTAACAACTCACAGTCAAAATGCTATGAGTTTCGTTGAGGCATAAGCTAATATTTTTTCTATGAGGCACATCAGCCTTCTTGCACTTAGAAACATTAGACAGCACTGCATTACACTTAGAGGCAATTTTAAACAGTGAAATCACCAACAAAAACACAAAAATGTGAAAAACCTGGAACTATGTGGACCACGAAAAGGACACTTGTTTACGGTCATGAGAGCTGAAACGAGAAAGCAGAGCCTCACCTGGTTCAACCTGAGCTGGGAACGTGTGATGGATAACATCTTTGATGCTCTGGGAATGTCCGCCAAAGAGCACAACAGTGCTGCCAACTGACTTTAGGATTAGAAATAAACTTTGGTGAGTAGGTAAATTTGGAAATGTGGAATCCACAAATAGTGAGGTCAATTGTAAATAGACACACACACGTTCATTATATTTTTTATACTTTTTAAAAGATTATGAAAACCATCCATTTAAAAAGCTACATTTCCTAGGCACCTATCTCCAGCATTGCCAGATTGAGCTTTATAAAATATAATTGTTTCCATCTATAACTGCATCATAAATAGCTTAAGATATTTTTTTACCACAATTTGAATGGTAGGTCTGGGATGATGTGATAAGATATAAGCAGTGGAATTTATGTGAGTTCTATTTGCTGGATTCTCAAAGCAGCTCAAAGACAGGTAAAAAAGGCCTTCAGAGCAGCTGTAACAATCAGTGAGGGATCAACTGACAGCCAATTTGCGAGAAATCTGTCATATATTTTTAAATACTGTGGGCACAAAAGTTTAAAATACAAGACCCAAATTGAAAGTTGCAACGACAAATAAATGTTTGCAATTTCAGGAGTTGATCGAAATTTAGTTTCTTTATTTCACATGGAAACTCTTACGTAACTTGCAGTGTGTACAAGAAGAAATTTATTTCTAAATGGATAATGATTCTCCTGAATAAGGAGCTAGTTAGAAATAAAAATTCTCATCCTCTGGGGTTGAAATGAAATACAACTGAGTTAAGAAGAGTGCTTTGAGTCTTACATTGTAGGTAATATTTGCAAAACTGCCTTGTGGATCCCCTTTTTGAAAGTTTGGACTCCACAATTAAGTGGGAGAAATGGAGAAACTCGCATCCTCATAAGTTCCTTCAACAATCTGTGTTTTGACCTAAGAAACCTAAAAGAGGGGTCTGAACATTGGAGTCCTATCATCTCGAGAATTGCTATTCTACTCCTGAAAAAGAAACTGAATTAAATTATCTTTATGATCATAGTTTGTTCTTACCGTTGCATTCAAAGATCAAATTGCCCCAAAGCCTCCTTTTTAAGGTTGGTGAGGTTCAACAATAAATTGTAGGAACTTAGTTAATGACTAAAAAGAATGGGGGATAGACTGTGGTTATAAAGGAATGCAATTATATTTTAAACAGCATAATATATAATCTCCTTTAAAATAGTCTCCTGAAGTGGGAAGGTTCTCTAGTTACACAGTTGTTGATAAAAATCCCTTCACTATTTGTGGGGACTGTCTTTCAATTAATATAAAGGCACACGATTCTGAGTATCAGTGGTGGCAATCTGGATTTTATTATTGTAAGCACGAAAAGTCATTTCCCAGGTAAGTGTGGCTGAGAGGTGAATAGTTGGAAAATATGCTTTTAGACAGAGTAGGTGAAAACTATTTTTTCTAAGAGTTCTATAAAATGTTTTGAGCACACAGCACTGCTGGTGAAAATAAAATCTATTATTTGAGCCATAGAAATTTGGAAACATAACTAACCTTACTCTGAGAATATGATAGTAGGCTCAAACACATGTACATGTAACAGCCTTGATTTATAGAGGTGTTATGATGTACTTTCTTCCAGATGTGGCTAAAGCCCTGTAAGAGGGCAGATATACCAAACCGGCCAAGTTATGTTGCTCCATTGTATAAGACAAGTGAGCGGAGAGGAACCTTATCCACTACTGGCCATTCCACGAATTTTGTGATTGCCATGACTCTTCCCTCTGACCAACCCAAAGAGCACTGGATTGGACGAGGTGTGGCACTGTTATGTCAGCTTAATTCATAACCAGAAGATGTCACTTCTTTGTTCCTGTTTCTTGTTGGATGGCTGAATAGAAAGCATATTTTACTACTAAAGCTTTTTTTTTTTTTTTGGTTTAAATACATTTGACTAAAGCTATACCTAATTATGAATTTACTTATGCAAATACGGATTAATATGATTCATACTTCAATGTAAGGAAATGCTCTGAAATAAAAACTAAAAACACATTGGCGTATTTGCTCTCTTTGAATAACTTTATTTTGGAGGAGTTCCATAAGCATTAGGAACATACATAAAATGACACATCACTGTTGACAATGAAAAAAAACCAGCATTTGATAATTTCCAGCTTTTTAAGTTAAAAAAAAAATGATTGATTCAGTTACAACAAAACAAAAGTTGTTTAGATATTTTAGCAAGAATCACCTTGCAGGACCATAATCACATTTAAGCCACTGACTTATTGTTAATGGAAAAAATTCACACTGCATCTAGTTACTAAAGTATTTCTAAGCATAATCACAGCTGATTGGATGCAATGTGATATATATACCAAAATTCATATGGATGTCACACAGTGACAGCATTGTACAAGTAACATTAATGACCTCCAACAAACACATTTTAAATTAGACTCGTCAAGCTAAAAGGAATGTTGGAGCCAACAGAAATGTAGTGGAATTCAGATTGTCTAGTAAGACTTGAAACTATACATTAGAATGATGTGAAAACTAAATACTGGTGGAACTCTAACAAACAAAATACTAGCAGCAACTGTTACAGCCCTCTTAAGATTTTTAAAATCTAGCAAATAAAGATAATATGACTTTTGAGAGAATATAAAACTTTACATACTTCAGCATAACCCACTTGCATAATCAGGCATTTAAAACTGGGAGTATATTCCAGCTGTTGCTTTTATAAAAGTTTTTAATGAAGGAGATTTAATGCTGGAATGCAGAATACTCCCTGGGTATAAAAACCCAAAAATGAACTATAAATATATCCTGGTTCAGAAATCAAGATATATGAATCACTTGAAGTTGGCAGTACTAAATAAAATATCAGCACCTTTTAGCTAGGTTGCTTGAAGGGCCAAGCAATGAGATGAGGACTGTCCTAATTCAGTGCCCAATGCTGAAAATAATCTATGTATAAAACTCTTACTTATTATAAGGAGGCCATACAGAAAGTCAGAAATAACTTTTCAAATTTAAGCATAAATTAAAGAAATAACACCTAAGCTCCCTTACTTATAGCATACAGAAGAAACACTGGCAATAATCTATAAATACCTGGATGCATGTGCTGCTCTTGAAGTTTTGTTTTAAAGTTCACAGAGTAAGAGGAAAAGAACTGGAGGAAAGAGGAGGACTAAATGATAACATTTTAGATGGAATGGAAAAGAGTTTGGCGCTTATATATTTGAACAGTAAGATTGTTACAGCAGCTACACTGGTTGCCAAGCAGATTAAAACAAAGCTAGCTGCACGTAGTTCAAATACAGTTTACCTGGCATAAATGAAGACCATGTGGCATAGGATGTAAACAGAAAGCTACATGCATATGACTAGTAATACAAATTATTAAGTCAAAATTCAGGATAAACATGGCTTGCACTTCTCACAAATCATTCGCAATTATGGTAGGAGAATAGGGCACCTAAAAAAGAGACTAATCCCTATCAGGCACCAACAGCATATCTTGGCACAAGATGATCAAGTGTTTCAGCTGAGTAATTTAAACATATCTTCCAAGTCATTTGAGTACCATGACAGCCATGGCAATAATGGAGTTTATCCTAGTAACTCTTCTAAATTGACACTTCATATATAGATTACACACATGGTAAACTTGGATTTTCTGCTTTACAACCTTGCAGCCAGCCACAGCATGTGCTCTTGGTTCCAATGCCAAACTGGTAAAGCAATGTGAACATTCAGAACTTACATTTCCCAATTAACTAGTTGGAACTGTTAAAGTAGGAAAATCAACAATTTAAAGCACATTTGATTCATTTCTTTGATATTTTCTAGAGGGTTACAATTTTTAAAAAAGAACATTGACCACATGCTCTAAACCCTCACCTCCCTCCTTAAAAAAAAAAAAAAAAAAAAAGAAGAAAAAAAAATTAAACAAAAACAGACCATCCCAACACCAAGTATTGTAACAACACAAAGAACCATTATGAATCTTTCATTAAACTGAAGCTCACACAAACATACAATCACAAATTTCAGTAGTTTAGGCTGCAGGTTTAAACACTATGCAAATATATACAAAAATAGTAACTCTAGATTCAAGAATAAGGGCTTCTCCCAATGCTAAATTCATACTCTAATGCAGCCCGAGCTTTCCTCTAGTTCCTATGTCTACTTTATGCAGTTTCAAAGTTGTGTCAAGTTGATCCCTATCACCACATGTATATATGTAGCTGAATTAAAGAGCACTACGATTCATTCTTAAAACACACAAAAATGTCTCCCCAAAGTCCATTTAAAATATTTTTAAAGTTTAAATGATTTTTTTTTTTGGTTCAATCTCTATTTCTGCATAGCCACAGAAGTTTCTACTAATAAAGAGACTACTTTAGTGTTTTATATGATTATTTTGTGAAAACTCTTAAACATATCAACACTGGTTCATGGAGTCCCATATTCTCCTCTCTTTATCACAAGCTTCATATTTTTTAAAAGACCCCTACATGCAGGGAAAACAGTACTGAGCACCAGCCTTTTGTGGTTAGGCTCAAATCTATGGAACTTGTAAGTAGTGCAAGCCACTGACTTTCCTTTGAGCTATGTGCATACAGTACAAGGAACAGATGCAAAGCTGCATGGTAACATTCTCGTAATCATGTGATTACTGGGGAAGGTCAAAACTGGATGTCAAACACAATTTTGTCTTCATAGAGGGCAATCACCAGCATAATGGCAAATCCAAAGAGTAATCCTAAATTTTGAAGAATGAATTGCCCCACAGGACAAAAGCCATGTTCTTCATTGTCACCATCACCATGCAACATTTCTGGAAGCTAAAAACACAAATCTTCACATTAAATTTGTATAATACTTCCACTCAAAACAATTTTTAAAAACATTTTTCCTACTTAAGAAAATGACTAAAATGTAATTATTATTTTACTGAACACATGCTATATATTGTGTTCAATAATTACTTTATAAATAAAATTATTTTATTGAACACAGATATATTTTAGTCAAATACTGAAGAAATTTTATGCTTTCACTAGTCATTAAGTCAACACCAACTCTGTTCCTTCCTCATCATTCCCCAAAACAAACACTTAAAATATATACATTAGTCATTTTTCAAACAGTTACCAATCCAGTGACCTTATCAATTCTGACATTTTACTTTATGCTAAAATATAAAACAACTTATTGCCATTAAAACACTAAAAAAAAAAAAAATCACTACAATTCCCACATCTACTAATATATCTTAAACTCACTAAGAAAGGCTCTTTTGGGAAATATCTAATTAAAAATGGTATCACTTCTTCACTGTTTTCCACTTGAAATTCTCATTGCCACTGCACATGACAGCAGAGAAATATTTGGTGACAAATCCAAATTGGCATCTCTATGCCCTTAGCCATTGCTTTCCTTCCAATAACACACACAGCGAACAGCCTAGCAAAGCTATCTGGCATAACTAGCACCAAGGCATGCACAGTGCCCCCATAGTGTACTCTATTCTCTTAATATTGATAAAATTTCAAAAATCAGAAAATTGTCATATATTTGAAGGCATAGTGCTTTTAAACGTTTATATACTTCAATTTCCAAAGCATATCACATACTATTACATCTAATAATCTGTAGATTCAAAATATAAAAATTAAATTCCTTTAACTTGTCTAATTAAATAAGATTTGTGGAAGAAATACATTGCATCATTATAGACATAAATTCTTTCCACCCAAACCTTATCAAAATTGTGAAAGAATTGCTACTTCTAACTTTTACTTTCACTTTTCTGCAAACATAATTCAAAAATTTGCAATCAGTATCTACAGAGAGATGACACTGAAATGCTACTCTCTTGGACACTATGTTGTGCTCCAAAATAGTATCTTGGTGCTTCGGGTTTATAGGGAGGAGAAAATATAGTGTTAAGTCATGTATCTTAATTCATACTTCTGTCTAGGAAGAAACATCATTATTTGTTATTAAATAATGGGTACAATTAATCAAACCACCATGCTCTGACAGTGCTACAGTATATTTAGCAATCTCCTGAAGGTCATATTTAAGAACTACAGCATGGAGGGAGGAGTTATTAAACTTACCTCTTCTGATGAAGTAACAAGATGAAACCATGTTAAAACTGAGATGAACACTCAGGGATATTGGGTCTTTAGACTTATGAATTTGAGCTGCTTATTTAATTGGTGTAATTTGCTACATATTAGTACTATATTCATACAGATTTTTTATCAACCATTACAGATTTCACAAACAGTGGCATGGTAAACAGATTATTATGCCTTTTTTGCAAATCTGAATATGACTCTAATATTTGCGTAGATGTAATTTGGTACCTTTCCCCCTAATTCCAACACTAGTTTTTATATATGGTTTATTTGACAAAAGAAGTTCTGGCAGAAAAGTCAGGGGGAAAACCTGATTAAGTTTTGGCTCAAAAAAAAAAAAAAAAAAAAAAAAAAAGGAAAATTTAAAAATAAACAATGAGCAGGACATGGTGGCTTACACCTATAATCTGAGCACTTTGGAATGCTGAGTCTAGAGCATGGCTTGAGGCCAGGCATTCAAGACCAGCCTGGGTAACATAGTCAGACTCCATTTCTACAAAAACTTAAAAATCCAAAGTGCTCAGATTATAGGTTTAGCTAGGTATGGTGGTGTGCACATGTGGTCCCAGCTACTCAGGCAGTAGAGGTAGGAGGATTACTTGAGCCTGGGGAGTCGAGGCTGCAGTGAGCCACAACCACACCATTGCACTCCTGCCGGGGTAACAGAGTGAGACCCTGTCTCAAAAAATAACCCAAAACCAAAAACAAACCAATGAAAATTTCCTAAAAGAGAGCAGCAATAGGGTGATAGCTAAAGGGGAAGTTGGAACTAAGAGACGTCCCCCACCTTTTTAAGAAGGGAGAAGTAATGTGAGGTTTATAGGCTAACAGAAATAATCCAGCAGAAAGGGGGAAATGGTATGGGAAAGAGAGGGGAGAAATTAAGGGAGTTCAGAGGGGATAAGTTCTAGGGAGCGGTCTGCAGGAGCACCAGCTGCTAGGAAGTTTCCTTTTAGTAACAGAAAAGAAGGTAAATGGGCATAGATACAGCAAGGTAAGCAGAAGTGATGATGAGAACTTGTGGATTAACGGCTCCATGAAATCAGAAGCAAGGTTATCAGTTGAGGGTGAGAATAGGAAATGAAATACTAAAAGTCAGCAGGGAAGATGACTACTTTTAGGTAACTTTGTAAACTAAAAGAAGAAATAATTATTTACCTTTTCAAAACCTTCTATAACAAACAGGCATTAATTTTGTGATTAAAAATTTAGGCTGGGCCGGGTATGGTGGCTCATACTTGTAATCCCAAGCACTTTGAGAGGCTGAGGCAGTAGGAATGCTTGAGCCCAGGAGTTTGAGACCAGCCTGGGCAATATAGCAAGACCCTATTTCTACAACAAAAAAAATGTAAAAAAAAAAAATATTTTTGCTGGCTATGGTAGCAGGTATGTGTAAGTAGTCCTAGCTACTCAGGGGCTGAGGCAGGAGTATCACTTGAGCACAGGTGGTCAAGGCTGCAGTGAGCCATGTTCATAGCACTGCACTCCAGTCTGGGCAACAGAGCAAGACCCTATTTCAAAAAATAAATAAACAAAAACTAAGCTTCATAATTCTGAAGTAAGACTGTTATGATCTTATCAGAAAAAGAAAATGTGATATCTAGTCAAAAACAAACTAACAAAAAAATCCCTAATTGCTAGTTCTGTAAATACACTGTCTAACGTATTTGGGGTATTAAAGTAAAATCAAAATAAAACAAATTGTTAGCATTTACATTTAACTTTAAGCTAAATTTAGTAATAAATTATATAAACCTTATGGAATATATACCACTTCCTACAAAAGACTGGCTTACCTAACAGGAATAGTATTTCTCTCCTGTTTGCCATAAAACAAGCTCACAAACTTATTTGGCTAACAAAAATAAAACACGTCTACCCCAATATTACAACATCTTCAAAGTAGTATAATAATTCTGTAATTAAAACTCTATTACTAATGATTAAATAGTAACATAATTTTTAGCAACTCAACTGGTTTCCATAAAAGGAAACCTCCTACTTAAATGTCTTTCCTTAAGAGTTACTTAGGGTATTATGTCTTTAAAATGAGTTACATTTTTAAAAACAGTGACTTCAAACCACTTGCAAGGATTTATTTCATTTGCAGGTTTAGTACCACAAAAAAATACAAAATATCTTACCATATCCACCAAGGCTACATAGAGGAACATGCCTGCAGTGATTGCAAAGATCCAAAGTGTGATGTTATTGGCATACTGACCAACAGCTGTGCCTATGAGCATGCCTATGTAAGCCATCATGGCAGAGAGGAGATTGTATACAATGGCTTGCTTTACAGTCATGCCTGCTTTAAGAAGAACTGCAAAATCACCTGCAATTAAACAATGGGAATGTTTTTAAACCACAGGATTTAAAACACAAACCTGAATGCAGAAAACCAATGAAATTAGCATTAAAAAGATACACACTTTTAATAAAAATATTTTATCGCATAAAATTTTTTTTTACTTATTAAACCATAATGCATGCAAAAACGTGGATGAATCTCAAAGGCATGATACTGAAAGACAACCATCTGAAAGGTTATATATCTATCCTGAAACAGACAAAACTGTAATAATCCCCAAAATCCTAAAAATGTAGTAAGAATAAAGAGCCTTCCACACCACTTTTTTATGCCTCCACAATGATGCACATAATGTCTAGCTGAGGCTCGGAAGAACATCAACAATGCTGAAAATAGAGTAAAACACCAGGTTCTTATTAAGCCATGATCCAAAGTCTGTTTCTAACTGTGATGATGAAGAATGGTGACACTGGTGACTATGAAATCAACCATGATCACAGAGCTGATGTAAAACAAAAACTCACAGGGGGGAAAATCCTGAAATTCTATTTCTAAGGATCCTCAATGGATTCTCCTCCCACCACCCTCTCCCTCCAAAAAAAGAGGAAAGGCACTTTTCTTTTCATCTATCTAAAGTTGGAACATTATCTGCAAGCTTGACTACAGCCTGTGGAAAAAAATTAAGTTGGATCATCAGGGAAAAAAAATTACTGCTCAGAGAGGTGTCAGTAGAAGGGCAAAATGATGCTAAAGATAATAGTCTTGAAGCGAATGGGTCAAAAGCAATAGCTTATTCCACCTTGAAGAAGTACAAAAGAGAAATACCCATTAGCTTTACTTACTATAATAATTTTAGTTACTACATGAACAAGTATCAAATCAATTATTGAACACTCAGCATATGCAAGGTGCTATACAGAACATTGGCTTGTTTCTTTCCCTTAAGAAAGAATCTTAACAGCTACATATCTAAAAATACAAGATCTGTTCTTCTATTACCTCTCATGGTTACAAGATCATAGTCTATAACAGATAAAAAGCAGTTAACAATAAAGAAATTACTGCAAGGTATCATTCATTTTTCCACCTTCCAACAAATTGCTGCAAACTAAACACTGCAGCATTATTTGGGAAAGTTAGATAACGTACCTAATGAGATTATCTACCAATGGTTTCTAAGTTACCATTGTCCAGTTTTCATCTAATGCTATTCTCCTTACATCTTTTCTCCTCTGACCCTAAATACTTTAATTCTCCTGCCAAGACCTGGATTTAATATCAGTTTTTCTATCTTCTTGCTCCTGGAGTTTTGTTTAATTTTCTCCAGTCTTTCTCAGCTTTTTCTCTGTGAAAAGAGCTCCCTAACTTCCCTAACAAATTTCTACTCCTTGTTTTCAATAATTCACCCACCAACTGTGCTGAAGAGGCACTTTCATTTAACATGTTACATAATACAAACAGACTACAGAAGTGTCTTTTAGGTTACAAAATGCATTGCTTCCTTTTATAAATTAATAATGCAGTATTTTGTACAGTGCCATGGGTACGAAATACATCAACTTTGTTGCCTTCTCTAATATTATCGAATAGCAAGATAGTTCATTTCTGAGTAACAACCAAATAGCATGAATTAACTAATCAAGATTCAAGGCAAACTATTTTCATTTAATATTTTTAAAAATTATGGTATAATTACACAATTCTAACAAATGTACACTTCTATGAATTTTGACAAACACATAATATCATAAAACCACAAACACCATCAAGCTCTAGAACTGTTTCATTACCCTTTCAAAAATTTTTCAGGCCACTCGCCCTTAGGCAACCAACAATCTGCTTTCTGCTCCTATGATTTGGCCTTTACCAGAACATCATCTAAATGGAAGCACACAGTATGTAGTCTTTTTTTTTTTTTTTTTGAGACGGAGTTTCGCTCTTGTTACCCAGGCTGGAGTGCAATGGCGCGATCTCGGCTCACCGCAACCTCCGCCTCCTGGGTTCAGGCAATTCTCCTGCCTCAGCCTCCTGAGTAGCTGGGACTACAGGCACGCGCCACCATGCCCAGCTAATTTTTTGTAGTTTTAGTAGAGACGGGGCTTCACTATGTTGACCAGGATGCTCTCGATCTCTTGACCTCGTGATCCACCCGCCTCGGCCTCCCAAAGTATGTAGTCTTTTAAGTTTAGATTTTGTTCATTTAGAATAATGCATTTAAGACCCATTTATGTTACTGTGTATATCAGAAAACTACTTTTTATTGCTCAGTAATAGTCAATAGATGAACCATAGTTTATCTATCTTCACCAGCCAAGAACATTTAGGTTGTTTACAGTTTTTTGCAATTATGAAGAAAGCCACTGCACACATTCATAAACAGGCTTTTGTGTCAATAAAAGTTTTCATTTCTCTTGGCCAGATACCTATTAAGTGGGATCACTAGGCCATACAGTTAAGCATATTTCTAACTTCATAAGAAACTGCATCCCCACCAGCAATGTATAGGAGCTGTAGCTGTTCCACATCCTTGCTAGTCCGTAATTTGAAATCCAGTATCTGAAATCTCATCTGTATAACTTCTTCAGTGAAATGTTTGTTCAAGTCTTGTGTCTATTTTATTTTGTTGGGTCATTTGTTTTCCTGATTGAATTGGGAGGTCTTTAAATATTCTGGTTCTAAAAGTCTTTTGTCAGATATTTCTTTTCCAAATATTTTATCCCAGTTTGTGGATTACCTTATTATTATTTTCTTAACTGTCTTTTGTGAAGAGTTTTTAATTTGTATGAAGTATATTTTATGACTTTTTTCCTTAATGGAGCATGCTCTTAGTGCTGTATCTAAAAACACTTTACCTAGCCCAAAGACACAGAGGTATTGTTTTCTATTTTTAGTGTCTCCATTTAGATTATCTATTTTGAGTTCATTTTTTTTTTCTATAGTAAGTTATGGGTCAAAGGTATTTTTCTTTCTTCCTTTTTTTTTTTTTAATTGCAAGTAGATGTCCAATTGTTACAGCACCATTTGTTGAAAATAAATTGCCATATATGAGGACTCTGCTTTGCTCCATTGATTAATATGTCTACTCTTTCACCAATTCCAACTGTTTTGATTACTGTGACTTTATAGTATATGTTAAATCAACTTTGTTGTCTTTTTCCAAATTCTACTGGCTATATAAGTTCCTTCCTCTTCCCATATAAAATTTTTAAAAAGCTTGTTCATCTCTGCAAAAAATCCTGCCGAATTTTTTATTGAGAATGTACTGTGTCTCTTAAAAAAAAAAAAAAAAAGCATCTTAACAACAGTCTTCTGGTCCTTGAACCTGGTATAGCTCTTCATTTAAGTCTCCTTTGGTTTCTTTTATTATTTATACGTCTATGCATATGCTTTTAGATTTAAACTAAATATTACATGTTTTGATGCTATTATAAATAGAACTTTTTAAAATTTTAATTTTCAACTGCTGATTGCTAGTATATAGCAATACAAATGATTTTTGCATAATTGTCTTTGTATCAAGTGAATTATTTCATTTTAAAATCTTTGTTGTAGTCTTATCTCAGGTTATAAATTCTCAAAGGTATCTGCATGTTTTTCCCTTTCTCCTCATTTCCCTTCTCAGTAAGAACCTGTATAAACATTTTTAAACTAAGTCAAAGGAACTATCACAGCAGGGATTTATACTAAACATGCAAATCTATTCATCTTTTGGCAAATCAATATTCTTTCCTCCCTGCTGACAAAGGATATCATTAGCTCAATGAATGAGGTATGCCTGCCAAAGCTTTTAAACTAATCCAATGGTTTAGTTATGTTAACATCTGTTAACATCCACTAAGAGATTTTTTTAAAACATGTATATATTTTAAGGCTCTTTATTCTTGTCTTAAATGATGGTTTTAAACATGTTAAAATTCTACATAAATCTATACAATGAATGTTCAATTTTCCATGGACAATTTAACACATGAACATCTTATTTTAAATTTCGGTGTAATCCTTAATTCGTTTGGTAGGAAAGGAAAAATGTACAACACTATAACCTCTCTTTGAGTTTTATCACAGCTACATATTTTCTTTTTCTTTTTCAACTTTTATTTTAGAAGCATGAGGTACATGTACAGGATTGTTACAGAGCTATATTATGTGATGCTGAGGTGTGGGTATGACTGAATTGGTCACCCTGGTGTACTACACAATAGTACCCAATAGGCAGTTTTCTAACCCTTGCCCCATGGCTATGTATTTATTTATCAAAATGTTATTTCCTTGAAGTTGAAACACATTACTCAACATCAAGACGACTGTTTGGGAAATTGTGATAAACCAAGATGGCAAAATGGAAGGTGATCCACTCATATTCCCACATCCATCCAGTCAAAAGCCTCTCTGTGCGAGTCTCAGAATTCAGATAGGAGTTTGTGAAACCCTGGTGGAATCCAACACCTGGGGCTCTTCTGAGAGTGCAACGATACCCAGGTGGTTGATCCATCCTGAGTTCAAACCTGGAAGCAGCTGTCTTCTGCCTGCCCTCAGGACAGTCCTCAACATTATGTCCCCTATAGATGGCCTTCTCCTACTACACAGGCTTTCATGTAAATTACTCAAGTGCTTAAACAGTTCCTTATTGAAGGAAGGTAGAAAAAAGTGAAGAGATACAACAAAGCAGTATTGTAACTTAAATTCAGCCACGTACGTTTGGCAAACACCGAAAAGAGAGTAGTGACTTAATAATTCAGGCAGTTCAGCCATTGCCACACCAGAGAGCAAACACAAAATGAGATGTGAGTTTGCTATTTCCTCAAATGCTTTCAATTCTTCATGTCTCTTAAGAGTCAAACTCCCTGAGCTATATGTTATTCTATAGTTCTAAGCATGTTTTTACATATCACATTCCTAAATACAAACACAAAACACACATGCAGAAACTGCAGAGAGAAAAAAGGGTAAACAGAAAGAAGGTAATCATCCTTCATCTCTAAAACAACTTGTTTTCAGTTCTGTGTCTGAGTAAACATACCACTGCAGAAATAGCAATCAGTTAAGAAGCAGAACACAAGAACTTGTTGGAATTACTGACCAACTAAGGGTTAGTCTCCAATATATTGCAACATAATTTGAAAACATGTTTTTCTTCCTAGGGTCTGAGGTCAGTAGGGAAATCTCAGAATTGTTTTAAGAATTCATAATAAAAAATGTAACAAGGCAAAATAGGTTTTAGATCAAATAAATTATCCTGAAATGTGACATATATACTGCTTTGTCAACATTTTAACCTACAAAGTGGGAAGTGGACTTCTCCCTGGCTCTCTCTGCCATGCTTCTAATTCAACCTATAGAGAAAGGATTTTCCCTGTGCTTGGGAGTTCTGAGGCTTGTATGCCTCTCTCAACATCCTGTTCCTCTGAGAGAGTATGAGTAGATGATATGATCGGAGTAGCGACACTAACCTGGGCCTATTGTACAAAAGTGCCCCTTGTTGTGCCTTAAGGCAAAAACTAGGCTCTACAATCATATTTTTGCTTCCTTTATTCATGGTTCATAGATCACTTCTTACCTTGTTGATAGAAACAAGGACCAGAGCCTTTTCTGTCACCTCCCAAAGAGGAAGCTGGGTCATTTTTTTATGCTGTTCCTTCCCTAGCAGCCTATCCAGCTACAGTATGGTACAGTTTATGTCAATTTACATTAGGAAAAATGCACATTTTCTTAAATCCCATTCCTTTCCCTCTGGCAAACTGAATATACGCTGGCTTGATATTTCCTCTCATAGCAGTAGCAACATCTCAACCTCTGATTTGGGGGATAAAACAGGTGGACATCTGAGGTCTGAAGGACTCACTGGAGGGTCCTGCCTCAAGGGGAGTTCTCCATTCCAGTTTTTTACCAGAGCTCTGCATTGGGTATCAAGGGCTTACCTAGCCATTAATATATGTAATGCATTTGTTCTACATGTGGTTATCCCGTGTGTGTCACTGCTTCAATAAGAAATTGCAGAGAGAAAAAGTAGTAAGCAATAAGAAGGTAACCACCCTTAATCTCCAAAACAACTTGTTATCAATTCTGTGTCTGAGTGAATCCTTCAAGGTTAGGGCAATTCAATAAAACCACACTTAAAGTAGGCTGACACTCCATTTATCAGGTAGTGGGTAGATGAGCAAGAAAGAAAGTTGGAAGCTTTTCTAGTATATTATGGATATGTACACATGATTATCCAAGTCTATTACTAAAAAAGTTTTTAAGTGGAAGATTATACATGAGGCAACATGTTACTCATATTTAAAAACTGATAGCCTTGAATTGTAGAGTTAGGCTAACAGCACTAACAGCACTATGTGACAGTTAGAGAAGAGTATAAGACATAGTATCTGTGCATTTAAAATTTACAGTTTAAGAAATAGGGGATCTAACAAGAAAATGTGTGAAGGATGCAGAGCAAGCAAACAATAAAATTTAGAGGAAACAGTAATCCAAGGCATGAGGTAGAAGACAGTAATGAGGTTAAAGATTCTTAACATGATAAACTAGGAATAAAAGTATTTGGGCCAGCCATGCAGGAGAATGGTATAAAAAAGGAAACAGATTCAGGCACCCACATTACACATTTGGTGAACTGTGTTTAGTTAAAATGAAAAATATGTAGCAGGATGTACTGCAGGTAACACTATAAAAGTAAGTAGAGAGAAGAAGTGAAGGTCATTGAAAATGTGACTCATAGTTGGCTCAAGGCTGTAATCCCAGCACTCTGGGAGGTTGAGGCAGACCGATCACTTGAGCCCAGGAGTTCAAGACCAGCTTGGGCAACATGACAAAACCCTAACTGTCAAAAATACAAAAATTAGCTGGGCATGATGGTGTGTGCCTATAGTCCCAGCTACTCAGGAGGCTGACATGGGAGGATCATCTGAGCCCTGGAGGTCAAGGTTACATTGAGCCGTGATCACACCACTGCACTCTAGCCTGGACAACAGAGTGAGACCCTATTACAGAGAGAAAAAAAAGTGTGACTAATAAAATCTAGCTGCATTTTGTATGTCAGGAAAGCTACTGAAAGACTTTAATTACATAAGAACATCACACTTAAGCAGATGTATCTGCCAATGACATACTACAACAGAATAAAACCAGGATATAAAGACTATCCAAACTGTCTAAGCAAAACACCATAAAGGCAGTGATGACTTGGTCTGATTAAAGGATAATGGGACATGAACAAGAGATCAGATTATATGTCTGAAGTTGGCAAGGTAAATGAAACCATACAGAATCAAGCCCCAAGGAAGTAGCACCAAGTATGCACTAATGTATTTTTTTCTGCTTTACATAAGAAATTATTGATTTTTCAAGAAAATTATACAAGTTCTATTCAAAAATGAGCAAATACTACACATCAAGGCAATTATGTACAAATGACAGACATTTCATAGCCAGGTGAGTTTTCAGAAAATTTAAATTAGAAAGCACATGAAGAAATCCCTTGCATATTCAAAAGGTGAAATTAGTATTTTTTCTTTCAAATTAATGCCATCTCCATTTCCTTCAGATATTTTTGGTGTGAATGCATATATGCATCTTACGCTACTGTTTTTTTAATTTATAGAAGAAGAAAACTAAAGCACTACTTCATGTGGAGAGAAATTAAATTGATAAATAAATACCAACTAAAACAAAAAAGAAATGCTTTACATCCATTACATTGGGAAAAAAAAAAGAGAAAATTAAGGCTGGGTGTGGTGGCTAACACCTGTAATCCCAGCACTTTGGGAGGCTGAGAGAGGCAGATCACTTGGGGTCAGGAGTTCAAAACCAGTCTGGCTAACATGGCGAAACACTGTCTCTACTAAAAACACAACAATTAGGGCCAGGCATGGTGGCTTACGCCTGTAATCCCAGCACTTTGGGAGGCAGAGGGCAGATCACCTGAGGTCGGGAGTTCGAGACCAGTTTGATCAACATGGAGAAACCCCATGTCTACTAAAAATACAAAATTAGTCAGGCGTGGTAGGGCATGCCTATAATCCCAGCTACTTGGTGACTGAGGCAGGAGAATCGCTTGAATCTAGGAGGCAGAGCTTTTGGTGAGCCAAGATCGTGCCATTGCACTCTAGCCTGGGCAACAATAGCAAAACTCTGTCTCAAAACAAACAAAAAACCAAAATACAAAATAAAAAAATTAGCCAGGTGTGGTGGTACATGCCTGTAGCCTCAGCTACTTGGGAGGCTGAGGCACAAGAATCACTTGAACCCAGAGGACGGAGGCTGTAGTGAGTTGAGATCACGCCACTGCACTCCAGCCTGGGTGACAGAGCCAGACTCTGTCTCAAAGGGGGGAAAAAAACAGTAAGTTAATGCCAAGTGCTGGGAGGGCTGTGGCAACAGGAACTTTCAGGTATTGCTGTTCGGAAATCACACTGCTTTAGCAAGCATACCTAGACCTGTGTCTCAGAGGGGTCGACAGGTACCAAGTCTAGAGATGTTCAATGCACTACTGTCTGTGAGGGGAGGAAATTAAATGCTGTGTCCAATAATAGGTGCTAATTATGTAAAATGTGGTGAAAGGATATTTCTGAGTACTGGGCAGAAGCAACACATTAAATTAACTCGTGGTAATCAGGATGGAGAGTTTTAAAAGATAATAAGTAACATAAGGTAAGAAACATAAGGGATGTATCAAAAAAGTGAAATGAAAGTGAGTAGGAAGTAACCCATTTCCTTTTAGAAAAAAAAAAAAAAAAAAGTGGAGCTCACTGCCGGCACTCATTTCTAAGGGCAAATGGGAAATGTGTTTGGGGAAAAAAAAAAAATAGAATAGAATCAAGTCCAACATGATATATATAATTACTACAGTTGAAAGTGTATCAAGAAAACATGTTCTAAAATGCAAAAAGAAAAATACAGGATTTTAAAGATTATTTTTCAAGTATTCAGCTCCACTCTACCAAAATCACATAAGAAACGAATACAAGATTTTTGGGTGTTAAGATTGTATTGTTAAAATATATATAATTTAAACAGAAATCATCCAACCTTCTTACTTCATAGATAAGGTAAGAGCTTTGGAAATGAATGATTATTCTGAAACCTCAGTGCTGGTTAGTAACAGAGTTAAGAATGCAACCCTATCTTTAATAACCATCGGGGTAACATTTTTGAACATCAACATTAACTTTCCATTATTTATGAAGAAATAATGAAGGCTGGCCAACATGGCAAAACCCAATCTCTACTAAATACAAAAATTAGGGTCAGGCATGGTGGTTCACACCTGTAACCCCAGCACTTTGGGAGGCAGAGGCAGGCGGATCACCTGAGGTAGGGAGTTTGAGACCAGCCTGACCAAAATGGAGAAAGCTCATCTCTACAAAAAAAAAAAAAAAAGTAACTCTGTTACTAACCAGCACTGAGGTTTTAGAATAATCATTCATTTCCAAAGCTCTTATTTTATCTATGAAGTAAGATGGTTAGATGATTTCGTTTTCATTATATATATTTTAGTATCATAGTCTTAATACCCAAAAATCTTGTATTCATTCCTAGATGTATCTGCCTTTCAATGATGTAATTGCAAACTTTACCCTGATTCTTTTAAAAATATGGTCTATGTAGTATATGAAATAAATTCAAAGTAGATTAACATCAAAATGTGGCATTTAAATTCAGAAAGATTTCTTTTTAAAAGTTTTACTTGGTGAACCAGTCATAATCTATAATCTTCATTATAATACCATAATTATGTTATTAAATGCAAAAGAAAGCACACAAACATTTCATCAATCTTAAGGAGCATTTTTTTTTTCATATTTTAACATCATGATATATCTAACAATTAATGACACTATAGTTGCCATCAGCCATTTTTTATGCTTGAACATCTCTAAAATTTGAATGTAATTACAATTAAGGAAGTCTTAGATTTGATGGGACCTGGTAAAATTTTTAAGGTTATATTACCTAATTCATGTGGCAGTTCATGACAGAAGACGGCTATAGAAGTACTGATTCCTCCTGTCAATCCAGCACTGAAAGCTGCGCCTGAGGAAGATAAGAAAAAAAACGAGATTTACTGATCTCTGTCTTCACATTTTCATTAATGATGACAGATGCAGTTTCATTTGCCTATCTAAATTAATTTCTTAATATATGAGTGACTCACTTCTCTTATACACCATAGTTTTTGAACACATACTGGGGTATGATAGGTATGTGACAACTAGAGAAACCACTATTCAATAAAAGCAATATTCCAT